TAAAGGCTCTTCATACTTTAGGAGGCAAGGCTACAAATTTTTGACTTCACAAATATGTTGCTCAGGAAAGGTTCTATGGATTCTATTCACCTTGCTTCAATGCTTATAAAGAAGCTGGGCTGTCCTAAACTTTTCTTTGGATGCCCTTTTCTTCAAAGATCAAAGGATTACATATTAAGAGGTTTTTCTACCTTGGAGATTTATGGAGCTCTTAATACTGTTGATGTAACTATGTAAGCTTCTTACTTCCCAATATTTTTTTTTTCTCTCCAAGCTTCTTTGTTATGGTGCATTTGTAAAAGTTTATTTTTTGTGTTCAGCCTCAGTAGAATGCCAATACATACAATTGCTGAAGCATATGTTTTGACATATATCTGTTAGTGTGCACTTACCCACTGACCATAAACCAACATAAGATGGGATAGAGGCCATAGGGCCAACGAGTAGGAAAGAATTATGTACTCTTACCTGTGTAGTTTCAAAGATGATGTTTCTACATGACCCTTACGTGACCTACTACTTCTAGAACACCAAAGTATCTGACAGCTGATAAAAGATGAGCTGAATTCAGCTGTTCAGTATAATCAAGATCCAAACATTTGTCATCCATCAATATGAAAAATCAATAACCTTCCTGCAACCTAATCATTCCAAATTAAATCAAGCACCAAACATTCTTAATCTATCTATGTCAAAAATCACTAACTTTCCTGCAACCTGTAAGATGTTAGGCACAGATTTGGCAGGAATCATAGGACATGTGATTTGGTTGTCAGTTCATTATTGCAGATTTCCAGTATATAAATTAAATTAATACCATTGCTTTTTTTTAGAATGATTAGCTGCTGCATCTAATTAACCATTGCAGAGGAAATCTCGATGATTTCAGAAACTTGGGTTCTTACTCTATTGACCCTCCTCACCGTGTTATAGGTGATATTCCTTCTCACCAGCAAATAGAGCCATAGAGGCCCACTGGGCCTTTCCATACTAGGGAATCTTCTTTCACTAGACCCAGAACTCCACACCTATTTCACCACCTTGGCCCAAACCTATGGACCTATATTCTCTCTCCGGCTTGGAATGAAGCTTGTTGTGGTCATCTCCTTGCCGGCTCAAGCCAAGGAGGTTCTTAAAGATCATGACGCCGTATTTGCCAACCATGAGGTGCCCATTGCTGCTAGAGTGGCCACGTACAGAGGCCACAACATCGTGTGGTCCCCCTATGGCCCTGCATGGCGGCTGCTACGGAAGGTTTGTGTGCGACAGATGCTCTGTGCCACTGCACTTGATGCCATGCATGGCATCCGTCGACAGGAAATCCGGCAGATGATCTGGGGATTGACAGAGAAAATGGGGACAACTACAACCGTCAATATTGGGGAGGAGGTGTTCTTGGTGGTGATGAGGGTGGTGACTGGTATGTTGTGGGGAGGGTCCATCATCCATGGGGGCTGAAGAGAGAAAATATTGAGTTGGAGTTTCGAGCGGCTATGATGGAGTTTACAGGGTTGTTGGGTCAGACTTTTTTCCGGGTATGGGGAGGTTCGATTTTTGCAGGGGTGGAGAGGAGGATGAGGAAGTGTGCTAAGTGGTTGGATAGAATTTTTGAGAAGGTGACTGATAAATGGATGAGAATTAATTCGGAGGGAGCTGAGGGGAGGAAGGAAGAGAAGGATTTTCTGGAGGTTTTGTTGCAAATGAGGGATGATTATGAAGGTGAAGGTAATGATACGGTGTCATTTTCCATGACCCATCTTTAAGCTTCGCTCATGGTATGCTGCGTAACTGTTCAATACCCCTATATGGCTTAATAATTTTAGCTGCTCTATACTGCTTTGTGGCTTTATATTTTGTAGATAATTTGGCAGTCAATTGCCTTACATTAACAAAAAGTATGTACTACTAGGAAAAACTAAAGATGGATTATAGTATTTGTTAGTGCTTTTGTGGTAAGTCAATAATGTTATTGATTTTGTGATAAGATTGAAAACTTACTGATAAATTGATGGAAACATGTTAGGAAGTCTGATATAACAAGCACTCAAATGCAAATTTTACACCTCTAGCTGTGATTTCATCTTGTGATTGAGACCCTAATTAAGGTTACACTGATCGAACTTCGGTTAAGCTAAAGAAATTAGACTTCACTTAGTTTGAAACTTGAGTTGGCCTCAATGATCTTAGATCCTTAGCAAATTGCTGGAAATTTTAAGTATTAATGAAGTGTTATGGGATTGTGGTTGTCTAGCTCTGAATGTTGTAGATAGGTATCTCCTTGTTTATCTCCAATTTTTATTCCTCTTTGTTATACCAATATACAATATAACTTTTCATTTATTTATTCTAATTTCAAGGTGTTCTGATGGGAACGATATGGTGGTGGGAGGAACAGACACAACCTCAAACACAGTCGAACTTGCAATGACAGAAATAATGAACAAACCAGAGGTGCTGAAAAAAATACAGCATGAGCTGGACACAGTAGTTGGCAGAGACAGCATAGTGGAGGAGTATCACTACAAGCTGTCCTGAAAGAAGCACTTTGTTTGAACCCTGTACTACCCCTGCTAGTTCCTCATTCTCCGAGTGAGTCTTGTGTTGTTGGAGGCTATACCATCCCCAAGGGTTCTCGAGTCTTCATCAATGTATGGGCTATCCATCAAAATCCTTCAATATGGGCTGACCCATTTAATTTCGACCTGGAAAGGTTTGTGAATGCTAAGCTTTCCCTTTAGCTCAGGCAGAAGGATTTGTGCTGGAAGAGGAATGGCTGAGAAGATGGTCCTGTTTTCACTAGCCTCTCTGTTACATTCCTTTGATTGTAAAATTGCCGGAAGGAGAACAGTTAAATCTTCAGGCGAAGTTCGTGATCGTCTTGAGCAAGAAAAAGCCTCTCATGGTGATCCCTAAGCTAAGGTTATTTAGTTCATCTCTATATGAATAGGTAAGCTCTATGCATTATTCTGTCCTTCTGTCAGTTGTTTTGAGTTTCAGGAGATTCGTGCCTTATCATATAATTTTATATACAAAAAAGCATTTTGTGAATGCATAACATTTCGAGTAAATAAGAGGAATGGTTTACAGTAGTTTTATCATTTTTAGCAACTTATAAATTTACCAAAGAGGATGTTTCTACATCTTCTTTAACGTTTTTCTACATCTTCTTTATCGTTTTTTGTAGCTGATAAAAGGTTAGTTTAGCTTCTGCTGTTCAGATTAACCAAGCACTAAACATTTGTTAGCTATGTATATCAATATATCATAATTCAATAGCCTTCTTGCAACCTGATTAATACGCCAATATATATATATATAATTTTTTTTTTTTTTAATTCTTAGTGTGATACTAGTTTTGTCTATGCAGGGAGTCTTTTGATAGCAAAGTATACCTGTCTTTTTTGGTCCCCTTGTATGTTAAGAATATATCAGACTCTCAGCAAACTAGGCTGGGTTGAAAATTTGGAGTACAGAACATTACAGCTTTCATAATTTATGAATTCTGGATTCTTGCTGCCATGAAATAGTTTACAAGTGACAGGAATAGGTGAGACTAAAGATTATTAGAGTAGTGACTTTGACTGTAGGATAAGAGAAGGATCATATTAGGAATTAGGAGGGTTCATCTAGGAACATCTGTATTTACTATTTCAATCTGTGTGCTTCTATGAGTGTGACTGTAGATTAGTTGTCTATTCAATCTTTCTGTTTCTCCGATTTCCTCATTTCAATTGTCAGGAAGAATGTAGGAATGTAGCTGGTCTTAGGTAATGCAGCTTGAAGGAATGTAGCTTTGATGGCATGACTACTTTAAAGTTTCCAGTGTTTTGAACTAGCAATTGGCTATGGACCTAATGACAGACTGATATTCATCAATTCATTATGTTGAATTCGTTGATCTCATGGAGATAGTTTTGATATTTGTATGAATTTATGAACTGAATTATTAATAATCAGTGATTAAGCATGAGTAGGAAGTTTTTATGATGGAAATATATATTACATGTGTGAATTTTAGCATGCTGCCCAAGTTTGATGATTTGAAGGTTTTCCTTCTTCACCCACAAAATGAAGCAGTCTTCTTTCACTTGTTCTATTGATGATGTCTCAATGGATAACGTGGCATGTGAAAATTGTTTTTATTTTAATTGGTTTGTATGACTGTAAATTTGACTCAGATCAGTAAAGTAGCAAGGATTAAGAAGCAACTTTGCTATAGATTGATTGATTGATTTGCTATAGATTTGCACTTTACTCAGATGATCAAGTAAATGGTGCATGAAAAGGTGCAAATATAATGCCTTAATAAAAATCATTCTCTTTGTATAACAGGAGGTAAGGCTACAAATCTTTGATTGCGTGTCTAATAAGCTCTGAATTGGAACTGTGATTGTGTTCACTGTTCACCCATTGCCAATATGCTTCCTAAGAAGAAAGGCTGTCTTCTTCTTCATGGATGCAAAGCTCACATTTTGAAGAGCTTGTTTTACCTAGGTTCATGGATTTCTCAATATTGTTGACGCAAGCATCTTACTGTCCAATTCTTTTACTCCAAGCTTTTTTGTTACCTTTTATTCAAGGTTAAATTTATGTGCAAAATCAGATGTGAAGTTTTATCAAAGTCCAGGGGCAGTTTGTGAGATATTTGCTATAGGTTTTAACTTTTAAGCATGTTGATGAACATTACTTCATATGTGTTTTTAGAGTAAACATCAATTGACCAAGTAGTATTGTCTGCAAACAGCAGTATGATCGGTTGTGTGAAGAACCAGATGATGGAAGCTATGTCTATTGACTTCCCTTCCCGGATTCAATTTCATGCATGGTTCATGATTTCGGATGCGGAAGATGTGAAGCAGCCACTACCACATATGGAACTTGCTGTTGGTGGGCGTTTCAGCAAGTATATATTTGCTGCTTACCTGGCTGGGACTAGTTGAACTCCTTGGGAGGTAACTTCAAGTTCTCTCTTTTTTTTTTTTTTTTTTTTTTTTTTTTTTTTTTTTTTTTTTTTCCTTTTCTGATGGACTCACTGAGAATCATTATTACTAAACCCTTAATGAAATAGCAATTCAAAAAATTGCTAAAGCATAAGTTTCGACTTATATCACTTTTTATACATTTGACCATAATCCAACTTAAGATGGGATAGAGCCAACAAGGGTGACCAAGTTCATATATTTGCAACACATCTTATAAATAAATTATACATACCTCTACAGTAACAAAGAGGTGGTTTCTATGTGACCATTAGTTGACCTAAGGCTATTATGAATAATTTGACAGCAGATTTAGAGGTTAGTTCAGAATCAACAGGCACCAAATATTCGTTATCTATGCTTGATTGCTTATCCAAATTTTGGTGCCTATTTTAAATTTTATTTGAGGTCCAATTTGCTTGACTTTTTGACTAAGGCATAAAATTCATCCACTCAACTCCTAAGACGTCAGGCACAGATTTGGCTGTTAGCCTGCTAGTGCATTTAATGAGATGTGCACTAGAGTATCTAATTAAATACTCTCTGTTTTTTTTTGTGTACCCATTAATAATTTTTTATGTACCCGCTACTGGTTTAATCTATTTTTCAACCACACTTCCTTTGTCCCACAATTTTTACTCACTTCCACTTTCACCTATATTTTTCTTACACTCACTTAATTTTTTCTGAAACTAAAGTCTACAAAAAGAAAGTGGACAGAGTAATATGTTTATTTTTTCAGACTTATTAGCTGCTGTTTGCCTGTTTTTATTGTATTGTTTATCCAACCATTTTAGAGCTTGTCTCAAAAAGAGGAAAAAAAAGTCACCATGATTTCAGAAACCTGGGTAATTCCACTACTGACCTTCCTCACTGTGTTTTTGGCCATATTCCTCCTCACCAGAAAACAGAACCACCACCAACCACCACTCCCACCAGGCCCACTGGGCCTTCCCATACTAGGGAACCTCCTCTCACTAGACCCAGAACTCCACACTTACTTCGCTTCCTTGGCCCAAACCCACGGCCCAATATTCTCTCTCCGGCTTGGGACCAAGCTTGGTGTTGTCATCTCCTCTCCTGCTCTAGCTAAGGAGGTGCTTAAAGATCATGACATCATCTTTTCCAACCGTGACATACCCATTGCTGGGAAATTGGCCACATATGGTGGCCACAATATTGTGTGGTCCCCCTACGGCCCCACGTGGCAGCTGCTGCGTAAAGTCACTGTGAGAGAGATGCTTGGTGCTGCTACACTTGATGCTCTGTATGGCATCCGTTGGCAGGAAACCCGGCAGATGATCTGGAGATTGTCGGAGAAAGCGGGGACAAAGACGGCAGTTAATCTGGGAGAGGAGGTGTTCTTGGTGGTGATCAGGGTGGTGACAGGGATGTTGTGGGGAGGTGCCATGGGGATTGAAGATAGAGAAAAGATTGAGTCGGAGTTTCGAGTGGCGGTGACCAAGGTTGTAAGGTTGTTGGGTGCACCGAATATATCAGACTTTTTTCCGAGTTTGGCACGGTTTGATTTGCAGGGTATAGAGAAAAATATGAGGAAGTGTGCTAAGTGGTTGGATGAAATTTTTGAGAAGGTGATTGATCAACGGCTGAGAAATAATAGGGAGGGAAATGAAGGGAGGAAGAAAGAACAGGATTTTCTGGAGGTTTTGTTGCAATTGAAGGATGATTATGAGGGTGAAGGCAATGGTAAGGTGTCATTTTCCATGACCCATGTTAAATCTTTGCTCATGGTATGCTTCTTTACTGTACTTTAATACTCTTGATTACAATTGAAAATCTTAACTGATAATTTTACATATTTAATGCCTCAAGATATGATTTTGCCTTGTGATTGACACTCTTAGTAGGAATCATACAGATTGAACTTTGGTTAGGCTACATGAATTAGACTGAACTTAATCTGAAGCTTGTGTAGGCCTCAGTTATCTTAAGCTTCTTATGTAATCGCTTTAAATTTGGGTATTAGTGAAGTTTAACCTGATTATGGTTGTCTGACTCTGAAAGTTGTAGGCTACTGTATTTAATAACACAACAATGTTTCTGTAGTTGCTATTTGAAGACAAGTAATTTTGGTGGAAATATATGTCCTCCCCTGTTTAGAGTCTTGCTCATCTCCAGTATCTATTCTTTATTGTTCCGCCATTATAAAACAATACATTTCATTCTGTTTATATAAATATTTATTATAATGTGTTTTTATGAGCAGGATATGGTGGTGGGAGGAACTGACACAACTTCAAACACAGTTGAACTTGCAATGGCAGAAATAATGAACAAACCAGAGGTGCTGAAAAAGATCCAGCAAGAGCTGGACACAGTGGTTGGAAGAGACAGCATTGTGGAGGAGCATCACATCTATAAACTACCATACCTGCAAGCTGTCATGAAAGAAGCACTCCGTTTGCACCCTGTACTTCCCTTGCTAGTTCCTCATTCCCCGAGTGAGTCCTGCATTGTTGGAGGCTATACCATCCCCAAGGGTTCCCGAGTTTTCATCAATGTATGGGCTATCCATCGAGACCCTACAATATGGACTGACCCATCAAAATTTGACCCAGAAAGGTTCTTAAGTGCTAAAATTGACTTCCGTGGAAATGACGACTTCAATTTCTTACCTTTTAGCTCAGGCAGAAGGATTTGCGCCGGGATAGGAATGGCTGAGAAGATGGTGCTGTTTTCACTGGCCTCAATGCTACATTCTTTTAACTGGAAACTGCCTGAGGGAGAACAACTGAATATTCAGGAGAAATTTGGGATCGTCATGTCCCTGAGAAAGCCTCTCTTAGCAATCCCTGAGTGTAGATTATCTAGTCCATCTCTGTATGAATAAGTAAGCTCTATGCATTATTCTGCTCTTCTGTATGTTGCTTTGCATTTCAGGGTATATTCTAATCATGTAATTGTTGATGCACAATAAAAAAAATTCTTAATGCATAAAATTTTCGTGTAAACAAGAGGAATAGCTGTTTATAAACTTTTTACATTGCATTCTTATAAATTACTGCATTGTGTTTCATTAGCTCTTATGAAGTATTTTCTCTATGACTATTCAAGATGTTTGCCTTTTCCATTATGACAATTTTTGTAAGGTAGTTATTATATACTATTAATAGCGTTTTTATTACAATGATGAATGGCTAATACTCAGACCAATAAGATTCTATAGTCTTTTTCAAAAAAAAAAAAAAAAAAAAAAAAAAAAAAAAAGCAAATGCTTTACCTTGGAATTTTAGAAATTTGTCCACCTTTATATCCAAGTACCAAATATTAAGTATTTAATTATATTTCATCCATGAATTATCTCTAAATCTGTTTCTTGAAAGCCAGTATTTTTATTTAATTTGTAGCAATTCATCACTGCCTTTCCAAGTATACTTTCAGGGGTACATCTACTTGAATTTTGATGCCAGACCAGAATAGTGTTTAATTCTATTTGCAAATTATGGTAAATGAGCAAGAAAGAAAGTAATTATCAGATTTATGTGAATTAAGAGTTTCATACCTGAACACAATTCAATCATTCACCACCACATATGAGACGGTGGTGGACCCTTGTTGAGCTTACAGTGGATGATATTTTGACATTTGTCTTGATACTGGATCTATCGTATGCACCCTATTTGCTATTTGAGTAATTTCTGTCTATTACATCAGCACCATGTATCTGTGATACTATTATTTTGCAGCCTATTTATTGTCACTAATACATGCACTGTCACCATTAACTCAGTCTAGCCTAACCAGTTCAGTCTTTTTTCATAGTCTTCTCAGAAAAACTAGTATGTTGCCTGAAGCAACTAGTGTGTGGTCATGGTGGCGGAGTACCAGTAATAAGGCTGATGAAACTTCGCGAAACATCTTGACCATCTTTGTTCCCTTGTTTATTGTTTTCTGGTTCATTTTCGCTGTCAGGAAGCAAAACAAGGAGAAACCTCCTTTGCCTCCTGGACCGCGTGGCCTGCCTTTAGTGGGATACCTCCCTTTTTTGGATTCCAATCTCCATCATTGCTTTAAAAAGATGGCCAGTTTATATGGTCCAATTTTCAGATTCCGTCTTGGAAGTGAAGAATGCATTGTGGTCTCCTCACCGTCTCTAGTCAAGGAAGTGGTTAGGGACCATGATGTCGTGTTTGCTAACCGAGCACCCCTCATTGCTGCTAAAAGTCTTTTGTTTGGGTCGTTGGATATTGCCTTCTCCGATTATGGTGTTGAATGGAGAAAGATGAGAAAAATATTTGCCACTGAGATGCTTAGTAATGCTCGCCTTGATGCCAGTTATTATCTAAGGAAACAGCATGTGAAGAAAATGATGAATGAAACCTATGAAAAAGCTGGCCAGCTGGTTAATATAGGTGACCTAGCATTTTTAACCCTTGTTGGTTCTGTTATGAACATGGTATGGGGGGATACATTGAAAGGGGATGAGGGGTCTGTCATGGACTCTGAATTTCGAGCTGTTGTAGATGAACAACTTAAACTTCTAGGGGCACCAAATATTTCAGACTTTTTCCCTTTGCTTGCTAGGTTTGATTTGCAGGGAATACAGCGCAGAATGAGGATCATCTCAAAACGGAATGAAGAGATTTATGATAAAGCCATTAATCATCACAATGCTGGAGAAAGTATTCAGAGGAAGGATTTCCTAGGGCATCTCATGCAGCTTACCAAATGTGAGGATCATGCAAGATCTCTAACCTTGCCTCAAGTTAAGGCCATGCTCATTGTAAGTGTAATATGCCCTTTTCTTACTGATTTCTCAATTATATACTTGGTATAAATTAGGATGCTGTTGCTTGTGTGTGCACATAATGTATGTTTATTGTTTAGTTATATATTTATCTGCAAAATTGTTTTATCTTTTAGGATGTTGTGGTTGGGGGAACTGATACAACAGTGGCTATGGTTGAGTGGGTTATGGCGGAAATACTGCAACACCCAGAAGTACTGAGGAAAGTCCAAGAAGAACTAACTGAGATTGTGGGATTAAACAAAACAGTTGAAGAGGTTCATTTGCCTGAGTTAAAGTATCTGAATGCAGTTGCAAAGGAGTCACTTCGTTTGCACCCACCAATTCCTCTTCTCGTTCCTCATTGTCCAAGTGAGCCTTCTACTATAGGAGGGTATAGCATACCAAAGGGTGCTCGTGTCTTCCTCAACTTATACACTATTCAGAGAGATCCCCATAATTGGGAAGATCCATTACTGTTTAAGCCTGAGCGGTTTTTAAGTGGGTCTGCTGCTGAGAAAACAGACTACCTGGGCAACCATTTTCAGTATCTTCCGTTTGGGTCTGGAAGGAGAATGTGTCCCGGAATTCCACTAGCAGAGAGGACTACAATGCTTGTTTTGGCTTCTATGCTGCATGGTTTCCAGTGGAAGTTACCAAATGGCACAGTGGAGGTTGATTTATCGGAGAAATTTGGAATTGTTGTGAAAAAATCAAAACCTTTGTTTGCTGTACCGAGTCCTAGGCTTTCTAACTTAGATCTCTATTCGTACAATAACTGAAAATTTTCAAAAGTACAGGGCCTAGCTACCTGTACTTTAAGAATATAAAGAAAATAAAGAGAGAATAAGATCTAGAAGAAGAATATCTTGCAATGATGTACTTCGTATAATTTTATTAAGTGCTATGGTAATTATATTGTAGTTGCTTTTCTTGCTTATATCAAAGTGTCCACATTTTTCATTTGTTTATATTGTTAACAGGAAAATTTACTTTGGCTGACAAATCTTTTATCTCAATAGAACACTGTGGTTAAAAATTCAGAGCGGCAGAAGGCACTTGTTTCAGGTTTGATAACTCATCTTTCTTGCCGCATATCTCTTTCGAAGTTAAAAGTGTGGTGGCATCTAGGCCAATTATATAGACTTTAGAGGTCTATTCTCTATTGATTGTGTGATTACCTACCTTTGTTATCATAGTAATTTTGTTTGGCAATCTATTATAATACATGTATGAGCATCATTATCTGGTCAGTCTGGTGATTGAGTCTTTTTTGTTTGACAGTGTCTGAGCCAGTCAAGCTGTAATCGGGGAAACCTATAAACAGATATGATCTTGTGGTCCTAAAATGATATTATCTGCATTTCAAGCTAACTGACATAACAAAGATGTATGACTAGTGTCTTGCAAGAATTGGTTTAATTTTGCTTTCCTTTTGCCTAATAAATAGATATTCTTTGTCTTCACATATTTTCCTCGCAAAAGTCTTTTAGTTGTCGCTTGTTTACTCTGTCACATTATCCTTTTTGTCATTGCCCTCCATGACCTGGATCTTCCTAGATGAAGTTTGTTTTTTGTGGATGTTATCCTAATTAGAAGGGTTTTGTTCCCACCACAATCTACCAGTTGCTGTCTGAAATTTTGTTCTTTTTCTTTTGAAAAATGTCAGATCCCATTTCACACCTTTTCACAATAAAAGAAATGTACATTTAATACACATGTTTGCTGCTAATTACCCTCTTTTTCCTGGTTACTCTGGTTAGTTGGCATTAAGAATGATAACACGAGAGGAAGGGGGGGGGGGTGAAAAAGCACATATTAACATTGTCTTGGGTAGAAACTGGATATCAGTGTTAACTAAGTATTCTCATCCGGGATAAAACCTCATGGTCTGAACAAACCATATCCTGTATGGATGGCTGCTGTTTTATTTTCGCCTAAAGATTACTTGTGTGAAATACTAAAGTTCAGAAACTGGCACATCAAATGACCTGAGTTAACTGGCTGTGAATTACTTCAGAGCATGCATGTTGATGCAGAAGTTTGTTTGTTTCATTAGATTTTGAAGTTTAAAAAAAAACTGACTTAAGAGTAGATGTGGCAAAAGAATTTCCTAAGCACAACACTTCAAGCATTAAGCAATAAGCACCACCTTTGAGATACCCTTTCTAGATCATGCAGTGAAAAATGCTTATTTTGCTAAGCCTTCCTGCATTACTAGAGGACGGGTATTCTTTGTCATTTGCTTCATTTCGGATAATTGCTTCATGACTTGTATTTTAGATTGGAGGCTATATAAACTGTGGCACTATATGCTAGCTTTACTGAACTGTTTTTAACAAAGACTATCAAAGACGTTATCCTATTTATTATCTCTGCAAATGCATGGCAGTGGAGGTTATCGTTGTTTATTATCAAGGTTATTTCTTTCCTATGCAACTTAGTTCATGTTTTCCTTTTGTTACACTGTCAACTTCGATTAAACTAAAAATATCTTTTTTTCTGAAATATTTTATGATCTGAAATTAGGCCTCTGTTTATTTCAATTATCTGCTGAAGAACACAGCCTTAAACTTTTCTTCAGTCTTGTCCAAAGAAAATATGATTCGTCGTCATTATATCTTGTCAAGCATATTTGTCTTAAGCTAATCTCCACACATGAGATGTTGGGAAACTTCACTAAAAGTTGGTTTTTTTTTAGGATTATTGAAAAGACAAGGGCCAATATTATTTTTCATTAGGCTTCATGCCAAATAATCAAACCGTAAGTAGGCCAATCAAGTTATGTCTGATATCAATAATGAGCAACAATTGAAACATTTTCATGATTTTTTTTGAGGTATTGAGGACAGTGGCACACTCCCATATATAACTTAAGCTTAGTGAGACCTATCTACGAATTTATCTTTTTCAAATTCACATACTAACATGTCGCAGACAGCAATCAGTCTGTTGTCATGGTGGTGGAGTACTAGCAATAATAAAATTGATGAAACTTTTGGAAATATCTTTATCATCTTAATCCCTTTGTTCTTTTTTTTTTTGGTTCATTTTCTCTAATATTTGGCAGGATAAGGAGAAACTTCTGGTGCCTCCTGGACCGCATGGCTTGCCTTTAGTCGGATATTTGCCTTTTCTGGACTCGAATCTCCACCAAAGCTTCAAAAACTTAGCCAGTATATATGGTCCTATCTTTAAAGTCTAGCTTGGAATGAAAGACTGCATTGTGATCACCTCACCTTCTCTAGTAAAAGAGGTGGTAAGGGATCAAGATGTCATTTTTGCTAATCGGGGAAATCCCACTGTTGCTGTAAGGAGCTTTTTGTTCGGGACAATGGATATTTCTTTCTCCAATTACGGGCATGAATTGCGAAAGATGAGGAAGGTTTTTGTCAGTGAGATGATGAATAATGTTTGCCTCAATGCTAGTTATCATCTTAGGAAGCGGCATGGGATGAAACTTATAGTAAGGCTGGTCATCTTGTTAATGTAGGTAAATTAACTTTTATAACCATTGTCAGCTCAGTAATGAGCATGATATAGGGTGATACACTGAAAGGGGGCAAGAGTAATACTGTTAATGCTGAATTTCGAGCTCTCAGAACTGAACAAATGGAACACCTAGGGGCACCAAATACTTCAGACCTTTTTCCTTTGCTTGCTAGATATGACTTACAAGGGATAGAGCGCAGAATGAAGATAATTACTCGTCGCTGTGAGAATATACTTGATTCAGCCATAAATAATCACAACTCAGGAGAAAATAATAAGCAGAAGGGTTTCCTTGGTCACCTCTTGCATCTTACCAAGTTTGAAAATCCAGCAACTTCTCTAACCTTGCCTCAAGTTAAGGCCTTACTAATGGTATATGTCATCTGCAAGACTCCTTTTATTATTTTTAATTTTCTTATATACGAAATTTTTACATATTTATTTATCTTTGCGTTACATTATAGGATGCTGTGATTGGGGGAACAGATACAACAGCTACTACGGTTGAGTGGGTTGTGGCGGAGATGTTGCAACATCCACAAGTAATGAGGAAAGTTCAAGAAGAATTGACTGAGATTGTGGGATTAAACAATATAGTTGAAGAGGTTCATTTGCCCAAGTTGAAGTATCTAAAGGCAGTTGTGAAAGAGACACTTCGTTTGCACCCATCTATTCCTCTTCTTTTTCCTCATTGTCCGATCAAGGCTTCTAGTATAGGGGATATGCCATACCAAAGGATGCTCGTGTCTTTCTGAATGTATATGCTATACAGAGAGATCCACAACTTTGGGAAGATCCATTACTGTTTCAACCGGACAGGTTTTTAAGTGGGGGTATTGCTGAGAAAATTGACTACTTGGGCAATCATTTTCAGTATCTTCAATTCCATTTGGTTCTGGAAGGAGAATTTGTCCTGGTATTTCACTTGCAGAGAGGAATTCAATGCTTGTATTAGCTTCACTACTGCATTCTTTCCATTGGAATTTACCGAATGGTTCTGTGGAGGTTGATACATCTGAAAGATTTGGAATCGTCGTGAAGAAAGCAAAACCTTTGTTTGCTGTCCCAGTCTCTCCAGGTTGGAGCTTTATTCATATAAAGATTTGCATTTTTAAAGAAACTACAAGGCTTAGCTATTTTTTTCCTTAAAATTATAAGATGAAGAAAATCTTATGCAGTAATGAATTATTATGTGAGTAATTTGATGGCTATATTGTAGTTTCTTTTCTTTCTTGAACCGGAAATGTAGTTCCATTTTCATTGTCCACAGATATTAATATCAAAAGCCTTATTATCAAGGTGAGACTATATTTTAGCTATGAGATTCACATATCTCATCAAGACTCACTTTTTCATATATCTAATTCAGCTTGCCCTGATAATTGAGTCTGTTGTTTGGATTAGTTGTGTTTTGCCTGCAAATTAATTAGATGTTCTTTTGTACTACCTGAAACTTCAGTAAGTGATAATTTTTTTTTTTAATCTTGTGGTCATGATTAATGATCAATATGATCTTTTGCTCTACCTGAAACGGCTTGTATTTTAGATCGCTAGCTTTATTGAATTATTTTAACATCACAGATGCTCACTCTATTTTTCTTAACAAGTGCATTTGTAGTGGAGTTTATACATATCATTGTTTCTGATCAAGTTACCTCTTTCATATGTAACATTGCAACTCAGTTTATAATTCATACTTAATTTCATGTTTTAGTTTGTTTTCTGATTGAGAATCGACCATTTAATCGTACTTAGACTGGTACCTGTACGAGCCTCATGCTGCCGTAAATCCAGAACTTTGTTAGAGATTAATCTAGAAAAATCTAGACGTGGTATGAAAAATCTAGTGTGTAGATTAGAAAAATCTAGAATGAAGTAGGAAAATCAAGAGAGGTTTAGAAATATCTAAGATGAGTGATATAGAAAAATCTAGATACATGTAATATGAGATAAGTGTAGAAAATCTAGAAAGTGGGAAAACACCACTATAAGGCCTTGTTTGGTTGACAACATAAAATGGGGGAAGTGGAAATTCATGGAATTTGATAAATTGAGGAATTGTTTGGTTGACACAAAAGCAAAAATGAAAGAAATGGAAATTCATGGGAATTTCAACTTCCCACAAAACGAGGAAAGTAAATTACCTAGCCCCCTAGGTCAATCAAGATTCATGGGATTTCTAAATTCCCACATTGCCAACCAATCAATAGGGAAATAACTTCCCATGAAATGCAATTTCCTATGGGAATTTTTTTTCCATGTCAACCAAACAAGGCCTAAATATTTTATGTGTGCATGAGTAAGAAGTGAGCTAATCATGAACTCCGCCAATGGTTGATAGAAATTAAGGGTTCTATCAAGAGAGTGAGAGACATGAACTCTCACAAACATGTTTGTACAATTTATGATGAAATTTATGAAATCATAAAATTGTTATATGATATCGGGTCCATTAAACTTCCGCGTGTGCCCAAATTCTATCAAACTTCTTATGTGTTGCAAACCTAGAATATCTGGCTTAACTCATTTCTCAGCAACATAGTGTCTTCAAGCATTAACCACAACATATGATATGTTGGTAGACCCTTTCTAGAGCTTTCCATGACAATAATTTGTTTCGTTGAGACTTCCTTCAGTTAGACAGTGATTTCTATCAAATTTGTCATGTGTAGTTATAACTTATAATATCTTATACTTTAGCGTTAGCTTATTACGGAGTTTCATTCCAGCACTTGTTTCAGGTTTGATAACTCATCATGCTTGCTGCGTATTTCTTCAATGTTAAAAGTGTGGTGGCATCTAAGCCAATTATATAGACTTTACAGGTTTATTGTATTGTGTGATTATCATTTATCTGCCTTTGTTAACCATATTAGTTCTGTTTGGCAATCTATTAGAGAACGCTGAACACCATTACTTATCTGGTCGGTCTGGTGATTGAGTTTCTTTATATTGTATGAGCCTTTTTCAAGCTGTAATAAGGGCAATCTAGAAAGAGATGTGATGTGGTACTAAGTGAACTGACTTAGCATTGTCTCAAAGGAAAAAAAAAAAAAAAGAAAAAAAACCTGACTTAGCAAAGATATATGATTAATGTCTTGCAAGATGAGGCTTAATTCTGCTTTCTGTTTGCCTTATAAGAAAATTGCATTCTTGCTGCCAATATATCCCCCCCCCCCCAAAATCTATTTGTTGCGGCTTGTTTACTCTGTTACGTTATCTTTTTGTCATTACCCTCCTCCATGACTAGGATCTTCCTAGATGAAGTTTGTTTTTTGTGGCTGTTTCAAGGATTGTTTTCTTCCCACCACAATCTACTAGTTGCTGTGAATATTTTTGTTCTTTTTCTTTAAAAATGTTAGCTTCCTTTACACAGTAAATGAAATGTACACTAAATAAACATCTTTGCAGCAAATTTGGTAATGATCTCTCCTTAAGGCTAGAGTCTGCGTGAACCTAATGCTGCGGCTGTAAATCCAGAACTTATATGTTGCAAACCTAGAATATATGGCATAATATCATTTTTTTTCAAGTATTAACCACCACATGTGAAATGTTGGTGGACCCTTATTAGAGCTTTCATTGACTAATACGAAGTACTTATTTTGTTGAGACTTCCTGATGGCGGCTGCAGTCTCATCTTTGTCGTGTATCATTTCAGGAATTTTTGAGTTCCTGATTACAAAGCATTCTTCAGGAATTTTTGAGGTCCTGATTACAAAGCATTTTCAGGATTTTTGAGGTACTAAGTACAAATAAGTAGACTGTTAACTTCGAGCTGCGAAATCCTTTTTCAGTGCGTGCTAACCATGGTGGAAGAAGGGGGTATAAGTTCGTAATTCGTACTTAGTCTCATGTTTTACTTTGTTTTCTGTTTGAGATTGGATCACTTAATCTACCCTATAACATTTTCTAACGACTTTTCCTTAGGCTAGTGCCTGTACAAGCCTCATGGGGCCTTTAATCCAGAAACTTCTTATGTGTTGCAAGCCTAGAATAGATGCGTTATATCATTTCTTAAAAACATAATATCTTCAAGCATTAACCACCACATATGAAATGTTGTCCCTTTCTAAAGCTTTCAATGACAATTACTTGTTTTGTTGAGACTTCCTGCTGCAAGTTAGCCAATTACCTCTATCATATTTGTCATGTGTAGTTATAATATCTTCAGGAAAATTTTGAGGTTCTGAGCACCACATATGAGATATTGGAGGACCCTTTGTAGATCTTGCAGTGAAAGCTACATATTTTGTTAAGCCTTTCTGCATTCTTAGAGGATAAGCATTCTGTCATTTGTTTCATTTCGGAACTGCTTCATTAATTTTTCTGTACGGCCATATATACCTTTAGCTTGACGAGCCTACCTATGCAATTCTATACCTTCATTTCCATATACTAACATGTCACAGGATGGAACCAGTGTGTGGTCATGGTGGTGGAGCACGAGCAATAAAGCTGATGAAACTTCCCGAAATATCTTGACCATCCTAGTCCCCTTATTGATTATATTTTGGTTTGTTTTCAATGCCAAGAAGCGAAACAAGAAGCCTCCTTTACCTCCTGGACCTTATGGCTTACCTTTTGTTGGATATCTCCCCTTTCTGGGCTCCAATCTCCACCACAGCTTTAATTATTTGGCCAGTTTGTATGGTCCAATCTTCAAAGTCAAGCTTGGAACTTAAGCATTCATCGTGGTAACCTCCCCATCTGTAGTAAAAGAGGTGGTCAGGGACCAGGATGTCATTTTTGCTAATTGGGGAGATCCCACTATTGCTGCAAGGAGTGTTTTTTTGGGACGATGTGTTAGGATTAGTGTGGAGATAGATAAATACATGGAGACATAAGGAGATTGCATAGAAGCTGCCTTATTGTTAAGGTTCGACCAAACTTGTGAAAAGTTCGGTCGAACCCGGTTTTAAGTCAGTAGGTGCACCAGTTTACATTTCTAGAGGAGGAGTGACCAAACCCAAGGAGGTTCGACCGAACCACCCCAGGTTCGACCGAACTCTGGGTAGGTTCGGCCGAACCTCCCTGCTCCCTATTTCGTCGCTTCGTTTTCGGCTTGTGCGATTTGCTTTAATCTTAGCCGTTGGATTGTATTTTCTACCTAGACTATATATACCTTTTCTAAGCCTCTTTGTTGATTATTCACAAACATTTAAACACATAGAGAGGTTTTGAGAGGGTTTGTGAGGAGCATTTGAATTCTATACAATTCATGCTTGTAATTCTTGAGTTCATTCATCATCAATATTACTCCATAGTGCAAGGGTGGGTTTTTTCTCCCGGTTCTCGGGTTTTCCCACGGTAACATTGTCTTCCTTTTACTTGCTTTAATTCCTTCAAAGTTGTTCTTGATTGTTATGCTTGTTTGTTCATTGCTATTGTGGGTTGATTGCAAGTTAGTTGAACACTTTAATCCTTACAATTGGTACCAGAGCCAAGGTTGAATCTTTGGTGTTTTGATGATTTAGGGTTTGTGTTAAACTTGAAATTGTGATTGAGTTTCAAAGTTTGGAACTTTAGGTGTTCAAAGTTTGAGTCTTGGGTGTCAAGTTGCATTCTTTGTTGTTGAAAACCTATTGTGAACTTTGTGTGTTTGATTTGCAATGGAAGAAGGCAAGTTGAGAATTGAGAAGTTTGATGGGAAGGATTTTGGGTTTTGGAAGATGCAAATAGAGGACTATTTGTATCAAAAGAACCTATATTTGCCCCTTACTAGTAAACCATCGGGTATGAAGGAAGAGGAGTGGAAAGTATTGGATAGACAAGCCCTTGGAGTGATTAGATTGACATTGGCTAAGAGTGTTGCTTACAATGTCAAAGATGTGACAACGACGGTTGGTGTGATCAAAGCATTGTCCAATATGTATGAGAAGCCATCGGCTATGAACAAGGTGTTCTTGATGCGTCGTTTGTTTGAAATTGAGATGAATGATAGTGGTTCCGCCCCCGAACATATAAATGAATTCAATTCAATAATCTCTCAACTAGCTTCGGTTGAGATTAAGTTTGATGATGAAGTGAGGGCCTTGATCTTGTTGTCATCGTTGCCTAGAAGTTGGGATACCGTTGTAGCCGCCATTAGCAACTCTTCCGGAAAGTCGAAGTTGAAGTGTGATGATGTGAGGGACTTAATCTTGAGTGAGAGCTTGAGAAGGAAGAACTCGGGTGAGTCATCGGGTGGTGCTTATTCTAGTGAAGGTAGGGGACGTGGAAGACAACAAAGAGGTGCTCAAAGAGGAAGATCAAAGTCTAGAGGGAGGAGTAAGTCGAAAGGGAAGGTGAACATTGTGTGTTGGGGTTGTGGTGTGAAAGGGCATACTAAGAGGGAATGTCCTAATCCCAAGAAGAAGGGTGGTTCAAACCACAAGAACCACGATGATGCTAGTTCATCGGTTAGCTTGGCATCAAGCGATGAAATCGGTGATGCATTGATCTTGAGTGTTGATAGTCCCATTGAGTCTTGGATCCTTGATTCGGGAGCTTCATTTCATTCTTCTCCATGTAAGGAGATTTTCCAAAACTTCAAGAGTGGCAAGTTTGGAAAGGTGTACCTTGCGGATGATGAACCTTTGGATATTGTGGGGAAGGGAGATGTTATGATCAAGACTTCAAGTGGGAGCTCATGGAAGCTTGAAGATGTTAGGTACATACCTAAGCTAAGGAAAAATTTGATTTCGCTGGGTCAACTAGACTCAAGCGGTTTTAGAACCATGTTTGGTGAAGGTACTTGGAAGGTGTCAAAGGGAGCTATGGTGGTGGCTCGGGGCACGAAGACCGGCACATTGTACACTACCTTAGGGTGTAAAAGCATGATTGCTACAACCGCAAATGATGAGACTAAGCTTTGGCATACTCGGCTTGGTCACATGAGTGAGAAAGGGATGAAATTTCTAGCTTCAAAGGGTAAGTTGTCGGGGTTGAAATCAATCGACATGAAATTTTGTGAGACATGTGTTTTTGGGAAACAAAAGAAGGTGTCTTTCACAAAAACCAAACGGTCCTTAAAGAAGGAGAAGCTAGAACTTGTGCACACGGATGTTTGGGGCCCATACCCCATCAAGTCCCTTGGTGATTCTCACTATTTTGTCACTTTCATTGATGATTCAACCCGGAAAGTATGGGTATATTTCATGAAGCACAAGTCGGAAGTGAATGAGAAGTTCAAGACTTGGAAGACGGAGGTTGAAAATGTTTCGGGCAAGAAGATTAAGGCAATCAAGTCCGACAATGGAGGAGAGTATGAGTTGGAAGCTTACAAAAACATTTGTAAGGAGCATGGCATTGTTTTGGAGAGGACCATTCCCGGTAAACCTCGCCAAAACGGGGTAGCGGAGCGGATGAATAGGACTTTACTGCAGAGGGAAAGGTGTATGAGGTTGTTTGCGGGCCTCCCAAAGTGTTTTTGGGCGGATGCCGTTAGTACTGCGGCTTACTTGATAAACCGTGGACCTTCGGTACCTTTGGAATTCAAGATACCGGAGGAGGAGTGGAGTGGTAAGGAGGTGTCCTACACTCACTTGAAGACCTTTGGTTGTGTGGCCTATTTGCAATCCGAAAAGAGAGACAAGCTAGACCCAAAAGCCATCAAATGTTACTTCATCGGGTATGGATGTGAGAAATATGGTTATAGATTGTGGGATCCTAAGAATCGAAAGATTGTTAGGCATTGTGACATCACTTTTGATGAGAGCTCTTTGTACAAAGACAACTTTGGTGGGAAATCCGTTGAGAAAGAATCAATTGAAGATGAGCGGGAATTTGTTGAGCTAGATGGTAAGGTTAGAAGTGATAAGGAAGTTGAACAGGTAGAAGTTGAGGTGCAAATTCAACAAGCATCTCCTCAACATGGTGCTCATGTTCCGGTGGATTCGGATTCAAGTGATTCGGATGATGATGATCACTTGGAAACGGATGAGCGAGTAGTTATGGCTGAGCCCGTTGTGGTTCATGGAGAGCCATCTACACCACCAACGGTGAGGAGATCATCAAGAACAATCAAGCCACCACACCGATATTCTCTATCCTTGCATTATTTGTTGTTGACGGATTCCGGTGAGCCGGAATGTTATAAAGAGGCAATGGGCATGGGTGAATCATTGAAGTGGGAGCAAGCAATGGAAGATGAGATGTCTTCATTGGAGAAAAACAACACTTGGGTGCTGGTTGAGTTGCCTAAGGGCAAGAGAGCACTTTTGTGCAAGTGGATCTTTCGAAAGAAAGAAGAACCGGATGGTACAATTCGGTACAAGGCAAGACTTGTGGTGAAAGGTTTTTCACAAAAGGAGGGCATTGATTATCATGAGATCTTTGCTCCGGTTGTGAAGCTAACCGCTATAAGGATCTTGTTGGCTATAGTGGTTTCGGAGGACTTATTTCTTGAGCAAATGGATGTAAAAACCGCGTTTTTACACGGTGATTTGGAGGAGGAAATCTACATGAAGCAACCGGAAGGGTTTCAAGTTCCGGGTCAAGAGAACTTGGTGTGCAAGCTTAAACGGAGTCTATATGGGTTGAAACAAGCTCCTAGACAATGGTACAAGAAGTTTGACAATTTCATGCTAGGCGATGGTTTCGTGAGAGCGGAAGGTGACCATTGTTGCTACTTTCAAAGGTATGACAATGGCTATATCTACTTGCTTTTGTATGTTGATGATATGTTGATTGCGGGAACTAGTATGGAAATTGTCAATGACTTGAAAAAGAAGTTGTCAAGAAGATTTGAGATGAAAGACTTGGGTGAGGCCAAGCAAATACTTGGCATGAGAATTTCTAGGGATAGCTCAACGGGTGTGTTGAAGTTATCTAAAGAGGAGTATGTCAAGAAGGTGCTTAAAAGATTTAACATGATTGATGCAAAGCCTCGAAGCTCACCTCTTTCAAGTGAGCTCAAGTTGACTAAGGAGGATTGCCCAAAGACAAGGGAAGAGAAGGACAAAATGGCCATTGTTCCTTATGCTTCGGCCGTTGGTAGCATGATGTATGCTATGATTTGCACGAGGCCCGACATTGCTCACGCAGTGGGAGTTGTGAGTAGGTTCATGTCAAATCCGGGTGAGAGACATTGGGAAGCCGTGAAGTGGCTATTGAGGTATTTGTTGGGTACTTCAAGTATGGCTCTTTGCTTTAGGAGAAATGGAGTTGTTTTGGAAGGTTTTGTTGATGCCAATTTTGGAGGATGTTATGATTCAAGCAAAAGAACTTCGGGGTATGTGTATACTATTGGTGGTACGGCCATTAGTTGGATGAGCAAGCTCCAAAAGTGTGTCTCTATGTCTACGACGGAAGCCGAGTATGTGGCTATGTCGGAAGCGGGAAAGGAGATGGAATGGTTGAAGGGTTTCCTTGAAGAAATGGGCATGAAACAAGATGTTTGTGCGTTGTATAGTGATAGCCAAAGTGCGGTTCAATTGGCTAAGAATCCTATGTTTCATTATCGCACTAAACACATCAAGAGGCGTTATCACTATACTAGGAGTTTGGTGAAGGATGGCACGATGTGTTTGAGGAAGATTGCCGGTTCAAAGAATCCGGCGGATATGCTCACTAAAGCTGTTTCTAGTGACAAATTGAGGTTGTGTAGGACCTCAATTGGACTCCATCATTAATTTGAAGGAGTGTTGTGCTATGGTGAAATTGTTTTGATGAATGTATTAAGTGTTCTTGAGGAAGGAGTGTGTATGTGGTAGTCTATGGTGCATGTTTGATCCTATCTCCAAGTGGGAGATTGTTAGGATTAGTGTGGAGATAGATAAATACATAGAGACATAAGGAGATTGCATAGAAGCTGCCTTATTGTTAAGGTTCGACCAAACTTGTGAAAAGTTCGGTCGAACCCGGTTTTAAGTCAGTAGGTGCACCAGTTTACATTTCTAGAGGAGGAGTGACCAAACCCAAGGAGGTTCGACCGAACCACCCCAGGTTCGACCGAACTCTGGGTAGGTTCGGCCGAACCTCCCTGCTCCCTATTTCGTCGCTTCGTTTTCGGCTTGTGCGATTTGCTTTAATCTTAGCCGTTGGATTGTATTTTCTACCTAGACTATATATACCTTTTCTAAGCCTCTTTGTTGATTATTCACAAACATTTAAACACATAGAGAGGTTTTGAGAGGGTTTGTGAGGAGCATTTGAATTCTATACAATTCATGCTTGTAATTCTTGAGTTCATTCATCATCAATATTACTCCATAGTGCAAGGGTGGGTTTTTTCTCCCGGTTCTCGGGTTTTCCCACGGTAACATTGTCTTCCTTTTACTTGCTTTAATTCCTTCAAAGTTGTTCTTGATTGTTATGCTTGTTTGTTCATTGCTATTGTGGGTTGATTGCAAGTTAGTTGAACACTTTAATCCTTACACGATGGATATTGGGTTCTCAGAATATGGATTTGAATGGAGAAAGATGAGGAAGATTTCGTCAGTCAAATGATGAGTCGTGCTAGTCTTGATGCTAGTTATCATCTCAGGAAGCAGCAGGTGAAAAAATTGATCTATAGTAAAGCTGGTCAGCTGGTTGATATAGGCGAATTAGCTTTGTTTACCCTTCTGGGGATATATTGAATGGAGAGCATGGTTCTGTGATTAAAGCTGAATTTCGAGCTGTCATAGATGAAGATGTGGAACTCTTAGGGGCATTAAACATCTCAGACTTTTTTCCTTTGCTGGCATGGTTTGATATACAGGGGGTAGAGCATATACAGGGGGTAGAGCGTAAAATGAAAATGATCTCTCACCGCCTTGAAGATATCCTTGATTCAGCCATAAATCATCACAGTACTGGAAATCCAAATATGCAGAAGTATTTTCTGCGGCATGTGAGAAAATGATGTATGAAAGTTATAGAAAGGCTGGTCTTGTTGTTGATGTAGGTGAATTAATTTTTATAGCCATTGTCAACTCACTAATGAGCATGATGTGTGCCGATACACTGAAAGGGGGTGAGGTTAATGCTGAATTTCGAGATCTCATAACTGAACTAATGGAACACATGGGGGCACCAAATATTTCAGACATGTTTCCTTTCCTTGCTTGGTTTGATTTACAGGAAATAGAGCGCAGAATGAAGATGATCTCTGGTCACTGTGAAATTATATTTGATTCGGCCATAAATCATCACAATAATGAAGAAACTAATAAGCAGAAGGATTTCCTGGGGCACCTCTTGCAGCTAACCAAATTTGATCATCCTGCAACATCACTAACCCTGCCTCAAGTTAAGGCCATGCTTATGGTATGTACCATCTCATGCAATTTATTTTTTTCAAATTTTCTCGTCCTGTTTTGTATGTTTATATATCTTTACATTATTATTTTCTAGGACACTCTGATTGGGGAACTGATACAACCGCTGCTATGGTTGAGTGGGCTATGGCAGAGGTGTTGCAACATGCAGAAGTAATGAGGAAAGTCCAAGAAGAATTGACTGAGATTGTGGGATTAAATAGTACAGTTGAAGAGGTTCATTTGCCCAAGTTGAAGTATCTAAGTGCAGTTGTGAAAGAGACACTTCGCTTGCACCCACCTCTCGCTCTCCTCGTTCCTCATAGTCCAAGTGAGCCTTCTACTATAGGAGAGTATAGCATACCAAAGGGTGTGCGTGTCTTCCTACATGTATACTCTATTCAGAGGGGTCCCCATTTTTGGGAAGATCTATTGCTGTTTAAACCTGAGCGATTTTTAAGTGAGTCTGCTGCTGAGAAAATGGACTACTTGGGCAACTATTTTCAGTATCTTCCATTTGGGTCTGGAAGGAGAATGTGTGCTGGCGTTTCACTTGCAGAGAGGACAGCGATGCTAGTATTGGCTTCACTGCTTCATGCTTTCCAGTGGAAGTTACCTAATGGCTCAGTGGATGTTGATACATCTGAAAGATTTGGAATCGTCGTGAAAAAAGCAAAGCCTTTGCTTGTTGTCCCAACTCCTAGACTCTCTAGCTTGGAGCTTTAATCACTTGAAGATTAGTTTCTAAAAGAAACTATAAGGTATAGCTAAGTAGAATTTTCATGCAATAATGAATAAATTGGTCGTAATGTGATAGTTGTATCATAGTTGCTTTTTTCTGCTTGAAACAAAGTTTGCACATCATTTAGCATGTATCTCAATAGCAAATGGTTTTAGAGTAATGCACATACATATTATGAGCACCGAACCTTCAATTTTATCACACCTTTTTCACTTGGTTCCTTTGCATTTTTTGATAGCTGTAAGAGTATATTAGAACTCTCCAATCAAGATAGAAAAAAGAACTGTTATTTGTGATCTAATCTTGGGCGTCTGTTTCTGACAATAATCTGTTAAACTACAACGTTTTCTGCTATATTTTTATTTATCTAATGCAGTCCTGTCAATAGAGAAGGTAATTCTCTGTTTACTTTCATAGGATGGAACACATTGAGGCCTGATTTTGATTAGCTAAGCATACTTGAAAGAAAAAAAAAAAAAAAGAAGAAAAAAAATGCTGCATCTATATGACAGCAGTAATACTCCTTCCATCCTGTATCAGTAGACAAAAGCAGACTATTAACTTTGAGCTGGAAATTCTTTTTCGGTACATGCTAGCTCTGGATTGAAGAAGGGGTATTATTAGTTTATGATTCATACTTATTTCATGTATTATTTTGTTTTCTGGTTGAGATCAGATCATATAATCCACCCAATAACATCTGGTAACGATTTTTCCTTAGGCTAGTGCCTATACGAGCCGCATGCAGCCGTAAATCCAGAACTCCTTACATGTTGAGAATATAGAATATCTGGCTTTATATCATTTCTCAGCAACTTATAGTATCTTCAAGCATTACCCACCACATATGATATGTTGGTGGACCATTTCTAGAGCTTTCAATGACTATTACGGAGACACGTCTGATGGCTCAGTGGATGTTGATACGTCTGAAAGTTTGGACTTGTTGCGAAAAAAGCGAAACCATTGTTTGCTATCCCAATCCCCAGACTCTCTAGCTTGGAGCTTTATTCTTTTAAAGATTAGCATTTTGAAGAAACTACAAAGCATAGCTTAGAACAAAGCCTTATATAATAATGAATAATTCTGAAGGTAATTTGATGGTTGTACTGTAGTTTCTTTTTTCACTTGAATCAGAGTGTGTGCATCATTTAGCCTGAAAATAACAGACAGTTTTACAGTGATTTGATTGTTATATTGTATTTACTCTTTTCCCTTTAAAAAAAGGTTACTTGCTTTCTAATTAGGCTCAATCATTTTTAATGTTTTACTGAATAAGTTTATACGAGACTGGCGTGCTTACTCAAGACTCTTTCATATATGTAATGTTAGCAGAAACCAATGTCTCAGATACAGTAAGAAGGCAATGAAATCTGAATGTTTCTTTCATAACTAAATGTGTGGCTTCTTATACACGAGAACTAAATTGTTTTGTAAGTCACTGTCTTTCCTTGTCATTTGCCTTCAGCTTGCCCTGTTATTTGAGTCTGGTTTATTTGTGTTTTTCCTGCTGGACATTATTTTTTTCCTGCCTGATATTGTTAACAGAGGTGACAAACTACTGTTAAAATATTGTGGTCATAATTGATGATCGAACTTTACTGCACATAGAGCCAACAATCAATGTAGAAAAAGATGTATGAGTGTCTTGTTAAATGTGATGATAAATTTGGATTCCCTTTTGACATTGAATGGTTGTACTCTTCCTCACCATATATTTTTCCTGTAAAATCTTGTTCTACTGCTTAAAAACTCGTGTCAGATGTAACACTACATTTTGGACCTAAGTTACGAAAACAATTCATTAGACTTACACTTTGAACAAAAATCTCTCCGGCACAAGTACCTGAGTATGAGTACCTAGGATAATTGAAATTTAACGTAGATTTTCATTTGACCTGCCTTGTATGCCTCACTATTCAGAATCAACCGCCTACAAACTCCTGTCTGCAGGGCTGTGTTTTACAATATTTTCTATAGCAGCATAACAAAATTCATCATAAATATAGTGTGTTCTTCCGGTGGCTTTCTGTATTGTTCAGGAACTAAATACAGTGCTTCAGATGACTGACAAACATCATAAAAATTTTGGCCTCTCATTTTCAAAGATCTATTTAAACACCGGTAGTTTAAGGTTAATCTAATCATTTGTGTTTGTGAAATTGAGCACTGGTAATGCATTTCTCAATCTGATGTAAAGATAATAAACTTGTATCTGAACTTGCACATTGAGATGCTTAGCTTAATGTTGGAACAAAAAGGAATAGATAAACATACCAAAAGACCAAAGGGAAGCTTATTTTACACGTTGCACGATTATACAACATATAACATACAAGCTCAGGAATTATGGCCTTTCAAGAAGTTGAAGAAGTTGCTTGGCAAACTGGGAGATCCTTTTCAAAGTTCGGCGGGATTCCAAGGATGGGATTTCTTTCAAAAAAATTAACAGGCTTCAAAGAAAAGCTTGATGAGACTGTTGGCATGATTGGGAAGTCTTCTTGACACGGTATGTGATGGAATCCTAAGGTGTACCACACCACAATATCCTTGTTCTCTATTTCTCTATCCCTGCAAAACAAGATGCCATCCTTTTTAAGCATCTCAAAAATAGTAAATTGCACATAAACTTGCACATTTACTCCATTTTTATCGATTTTTCAAGTATTGAGGAAACACAAAGGCTGACAGATTATTACCTTTCAGACCAGGTAGCAAGGGTGTCTTCGCCATGGCTTTGGTAAACAAACAACCCGCCAGCCCACTCTTCGCTTCTGTTATATGGAGTGACCCATATTTGGTTGTTGGTAAATGCTCCTCTCCTTTGGGGTGGATCGTCAAGATCAAGTAGGCTAGCCGCGGTGCCAGCAGGGACTACTTTATACCCAACAGGGTTCCCTACTCGGGTCTTTTTACTTGGATTAACCACATGAAATTCAGATGGGTCATAAAGCTTGAGCTTGATTTGTGCATCTTTCTCAGTCTTGGCAATACTCCTTGTGGCTTTCAAGTAGCTCTTCCTAGGTGACTCCTCAGGGGAGGTTTGTTGCCTCTGTAAGTTCACTTTTACAAACGAATTATCCGATCCATCTACATCCATGTCAAGATAGAATGTGATGTAATGGTCATGGATAACACCAATGACATTTTCAGATAATAAGGTCCCATAGAGGCCTTCTTGATTCGAGACTTGATCCAAGTTCGTGTATGGTGTACCTTTCACCATCAATATGCCACTTAATCCTACCTGCAATAAACAATTGCATCATACTAAAAATGATAACTTCAACCCAATCATTTCTATCATAACTTGCTAGTACTTTGATTAATCTTAAATTAGTATACGCTCCGAATATTGATGTGTAAGTTAAACTACTAACGTGACAACTGTACTAACGTGACAACTGTCTGAACAGAAAGAATGCAGGCATGCTATAAGATGCAAAAATACAAACCTTAATATTGACAAGTCCATCATTTTGAAATTCCCAGTCCACAATATAATCATAGTTTGCTACTGATGCTGCCATTCGAACAACTAAAGTCACCTTTGGCCTTGCCTCACAGATCTGCATGAAATCATGTAAGCAAACAACGTAAGAATAACAATGTGTTCTTCAAGTTTAAGGCCACAAGATATAAAGATTTACTTACTATGAGTACATAACAACTTAGACTTTAAAGACACAAAATAAGCAATATGTTTCACTGGTACAGCTTCAACAGTTCAATCTATCAAAATTTTCAGCATTTCATCATTTAAGGTACTCGAAGTGTGTGGCCAAACATAGCCTTAATTTTTGTTTTTAACATGAAAGTTACCTCCATGCCTGTAATTGGACTTTCAGAATGACGCCACCCAATATCACCAGCATAACTCTCAAACACACAAACCATATTTGATCTGACATATGGCCTTCCATCACCAGCAGCAAACACACCATCCATATAGTATGCATTCCTCGGACAATCATTGAGCGGGTCAAGAGGCATCGCCGTTAACCCAAACCCGTATTCACCTGCATCCATATAAGTCTTAAAATACCATGCATCACTTGGATCCATGTAAGGAACAAACAACTCTGAAGTCATCCCTTTGTACATGACATTTCTTAGCTCCCCTGTATCCGGGTCCCGGAACATGGCCCGTGATACAATCACCCCAGCTCTTGGGTCGGGTTTCAGGTGAAATTCCCAATTAGCCCATTTGATTATGTGTCCATTCTCTACAGTGAAGCTTGGGCCTTTGGGCTGCTCAATGGATATTGGGTTGATAGGCTTGATTTTATGGTGGATGTTTTTTTGGGCCGAAAAGCGGTACTCTGTGTTGGTTGCTTGAGGAATGGGTATGTCACTTCCATTATCAGAAATTTCCAACACTTGATTAGAGTCCATATCAACAATTACAGTAAGCCCTTCTATGGGCCTCATATAGAAATTAGTAGTCTCTTCCATGGAATAGCATTGTATCTTAATCAACCTCCTCTTTTCTTCTTTTTTACCATACCATCCTGCACATCATTATTATTATTCTATGAGAAGAAAGATTAAAATCATTCCAAATCAAATGCATTCAAACAAAGCTAATTGAATCAAATTAAATTTAAATGCATTCAATAAAGCTAGCTAGTACATGTTGCAATTCGATGTCTAGCTAGTACTACGGATATCATGGGCACCTTATCATATACTCGCTCTGTCATTTTAGATACATAAGGAGTCATAAAGAGTATATGTACAGAGCAACATTTATCCCATTTTATGAGTACTTTGTCATTAGTTAAATGAATTCCCTTTCATCTAAAGTACGATTGTTTTTGTCATTTACTTGTACATAAATAAGGTTTAAGATATGGAGTTTAGTTAAACTATGCACAATAACTCATAGATACTCTATTCTATAAAGTTGACTAAAAAAACTTGTACTATAAACTGTTAAAGAAAATTGAAGACTATCATAAGAGTCTATTACAGTAAGAGTTAAGGAGGACAATACCAGTAGAAATGGGCAAGCAAGCCAAGTCCTTCAGATCAACCCCACGCGCCACCACCGTCTGATTAAACTCTTTACTCCCGAACGGTGTAAACGTCGCCGTATTCATATCTTCAATAGTCATAGTCGGGTAGCCAGACACTTGACCAACATCAACAAACTCAACCCGACCCGAACCCAAGTCAACACTCATCATGTGTGTCCCTCCATCCACACGTGCTATAACAGAAGCCTTCCTAGGTGGAAGTGGATCCCCTTCCTTCCATCTGATGACAAGTGGCTTCGGTGGCTCCTCTAAGACAACTGAGTGAAGTGCGTAGCACTTAGCTGCCTTAAAGAGCACATGTGAGATGACAATGGACCGGACACGGTTCATCTCCTGGACCGTAAGTGGGTCCAGGGGATGTCGTGCCATGTCCGACACATGGACATGGCGAGTGAGCTTACGTGGCGGTGGCTGAAGCTCGAGTTCAGCCGCCGCCTTGTTAACATAATGGAAGTTCTTAGACGAAGGAAGGTCGGAATTTCTAATGAATATGAAGATAAAAAGAATGAAAGTTACAAGTAGAAGTGAAAGCAAACGTAGGAACTTTTTTCCTTCCATAGTTTTTAGGTGTTATTTGAGTAGGACAGAGAGTGAAGTGGGTGAAAAGTGTAGTAGTAAGAATGATATATAGATGTAGTAAGGAAGGACACTTGTTTAAGAAAAAATCTATTAGTTGCCGTAAGATACCACTAAGATTCAAAATAACGACATTATAAAAATACAAATAATAAAATAAAAATATAATTCATTGTTCGTACTCTATGATTGAAGATAAAGTAGGGAGGAAATATTTGGATTCCAAAAGATTCCTTTGTTGTGATGTGGGACGTCAGAAGTGTTAATCCAATAGATGGATTACTAGTCTAATGAAATAATCTTAGGTTATATAATCATCAAAGTTATACAAGTAACACGAACCAAATTATATACGTAGATAGATTACCTTCGTTACGTATGCTAATTACTGTTGTACACCTTTGAATGATCATGCTCGTATTATATATTTCACATAGGATATTATTACGAAGTAATACACTACCTTCATTACTTTTCAGATGCAATAAAAGGTATTTTTTATATTTGTGAGACATAAAAAATTCCTTTGTTACAGCTAAAAAGTAACAGAAGTAGTAAATGATAATCTAATTTGATCCCAAAACAGGGTAGTTTGTAATTGTTCAATGTTAGAAAATCAGTATTTTTGTGCTGCTCTAGTAACCACAAATAAATTATGTCTCATTTTCTTCCAATTGGCAGGACTATATAGAATTTCGTGGCCAAACGTATTATAGATCTGTACATTATGTAGCACAAAATACAAAAAACATTGGATTTCTGACTTCGTTAGCGCCAAGAAATTTAAAACTAAATATTATTAATTTTGAAAATTTAAGGCATAGAATCATTACATGAGAGTGGCTAGTTGCAGATTTTCATTAAAATTTGGCAAGTGCACATTAATATTATCCAAAAATTTAATAAATAAAATATAAAAAATGCACAGGAATTTAGGAGGAAGAAAGGACCATGTAAATTAAAAGTTTTTGTTTCCTTGTGTGAAGCTATTTAAAAACAAGGTAAGAAGAAAGAATATGCCAAAAAACCTGAAATTAAAATTCTTAATAATTATTCAGCTATAGAAAATTCTTAATAATTATTCATCAATAGAAAAAAAAAAATACTGCATAACTATGTTAAAATAAAAGAGGGGTAAAAATTCTTACATGTACCCAGGTACAAATGTATTCTAGGCGTACCTATGCATATTTTTTTTTTATTCATTTGCTTATTTGAATATCTCCATATCAGCTTAAATGAACAAATAAATATATGAATAAAAGATTAAGAGAGGTTGACAGATTCACCACACAGCTGCTTCAGCTCGACCTCTAAAATTCCCAGCAAATTTGCTTTATTTCGTCGATAAACCCAGGCTTGAGAGCTGGGATCCCAATCAAATCTTGAAGGACCACTGAAACATAATATTCAAAAGGTCTGGTTAGGGAAGATTAAAAAGCTTAGGTGTTTTAAGAAGTTAGAACGAACAGTAGGAAGAGAAAGGAAATTTATGCACATAGATATGTGTGAATGCTAGACTCCGAATTAAACAAATTAACTAAGCTAATTTCACCCAAAAAAATTCCTATGTGATAGCTGTAAACCTCCAGTGAGGATATTGTGGGAAATCCAACCATGTTTTTATTAGCATTTTTAGGAATAGGGCAACATTTTCAGGACATTGCTGCATGGTTTTTGTGAATTTTATTTCATGCAGTGGGAGTGACATTAATAACAGTTACTACGTATAACACATGATGCAGCAAGGACAGGACTGATCAAATAGTATAAGAAATGATATCACTCATTCTCCCGCGGCACAAACAAGAGCAGAGAATATTTGGAAGTATGGGGAACTGCTTTCCCATGGCACACTGATGCTCAGTGTGAAGTATAACATGATTAACATCTACGGACATAAGCATTGCTCATCAAACTACAAATTACACATACATATCTATGGAGATATGTGAGCAAAAAGCTGCTTGAATTGAGGAAAGAAGACAAAGATGCATTTATGTGGATAGAATAACAAAATAGCCTCCATTTACTTTAAGACTTGAGAACTATATAGGACATTCAATGCCTGATCTGCCCAAACCCATGATAATAATAATCAGAAAACTATTGAAGCTATTAATCTATACTCAAATATTCATGCATATTTTTCGGTCAAATGTATTTGAGCCCATACAGAACATTAATGACTGATAAGATGAGAGAACTTACAGATGCTGCAGCAATTTCCTGAATAGGTACCCTTTACCAATTCTCTTTTGTAGTGGGTAGGGGATTTAAGAGTTCAATTGTTTGGGGTATTCTTTCCCGTCTGATTTGCATCTCCCTCCCCTTCCACCTCCCAAAACAATTCTTATCACAGGAATCAGTGAGAATGCTCATTAATAATTCAATATGGTTCTGATGGTCACTCTTCCAATTGTTGCAGCATTATCACAATCATTTTCGTGTAATCTTATCCTCATATACCAACTTTATCAGTTGAGAGACTATACAGACATGATTGGGTCCATCTCGAGGGCAACTGACAAGCTTTGAAGGGTAATCATTCTAGCAAGTAATTTTCTAAGGGAATAATTTACTAGGCATCTACATAGACTGGCAGAGTGGCAGGGGCTTTTGAGAAGGACAAAAAAAAACCCTCGTAAGGGGTATTCAAAGAAAATGGGCTGATCTTTATTTGTGTCAAAAGTCAAAACGTGTCAATTAAAATAAAAGAGGAAGCACATGTAACCTATCCATCTTGAGTAGATGGGTCTAGAAGGTGAATTTGGACAAGCATTCTTAAAAGTGTTGACAATAAAACTAAGAGGGTTGCAGACAACTAAACGTAAATTGTTGAAAGTGAATCATGAACTGTAGTAAGAGCTTATCCTGTTCAAGCAATTCAAGTACAAAATCACCTACTGAGCCATATGATGCAGAACCCAGAGACAGAATTACCAAAAACAAAAGAAAAAAAAAAAAAAAAAGAAAGAAAGAAAAGACAAACTACCATGGAAAAAGGGCAATAGTTTAAATCAGACTTTCACAAACGCATAATGTTTAATCTCAATTAGTCAATTGTACTTGGGTATAGACTAAGAAACTACTCCCTCTATTTCAAAATTTGATTTTCCATTCTTTTAGTTTCAATATAAAGTCGCGTACAATTATTATGTCAATTAAAAGCAACTTTATAATACCAGCACAATATTTTATGTCAGCTAATTATACCAGTGCAACATTAATTAAGATAGTTGTATTCACGATATGCGTGTAGCTGTTATCATGCCTAGTAATACAAAAGAGGGAGTAAATGTAAGCAAGAATACTATGTTCTTAATTACCTTACTGGAGAAGACAACCAGATCTGTCTGTTTGGCGTCTGTTTATTCACCACGTAAGTGCCCAGATCCCCTAGTTTCATGGTGAGAACTTCATTCTGCAATTAAAATTTCTTTCAACATAACACTCCGTATGGGAGATGTAGGCAAGCTAGTGTGCAAAACAAAATTTATAGGAGCAAAACAATTCTTACCCCATAATCTACGTCAAACCCATCAACATCAACAGTATCACCATATTCCTGTCAAGCATGAAAAGCCATGTCAATAATCAAATATACCTAGATAAACCAAAGACTTGAATATAAAATTTAAAAACCAATCAATGGAAACCCAAACGCATAAGCATCACAGGGTGCACACACAACACAGGCCCTGGCATACTTTTTTTTGAATAAACTAAAGCTTACAGGAAAACATATATTTTATACATGACCAAGTAGCAGCAAGTGCAAGAACGGAGGACAAATTGCACTTGCAGCAGCAGAAAACAGATTATATATCAGCCCAGTTCCATTGAATTTCCCTGACTTAGAAACTCTTAAATTCCTCTGCTGTCTTAGCCCACAAAAAAGCTAGATAAGTTGTCCTATCCTACAGCCAAACACTTATAGCAGTTCCCCAGAAAATTCGCACATTCTGTTCTAACCACTAACACTACAAAATCTCCACAAAAGCATTTTGTCACAATATATTCCTTCTCCTTTGCCCTTCCAAATCCTACATAGCAGACTTGAACAGATTAGTCTGTGAGATACCTGGTACTCCCCAAGCAAAGCAAAAAGCCTCTACCAAACATTAAAAAACCATCTCACAATGTAGGAATATGTGTGAGCACATCTCAATCAAGGGACAACACAGCATGCACATATCCAGTGAAATAGCCATCCTGTGGTCATCTTCTTTAGAACATTTAGTTCTCCCCAGCACAAAAGTCCACACAAATGCTCTCACCTTCAGAGAAACTTTTAATTTCCAAATAAATCTATGGACCGGGAATAAGCAGACCTAAGAAGATTTGCAAGAAAAGGTGCCCGTTGTATCCCATATCACTTTTTATTATCCTCTAGCTCCGACAGTTGTGTGACACACTGACACCCTCAAAAAGCAAAGTGAGCTCAATCTAATTCTCTATCGCGAGGATGCCTTTGTAAACGAAGATTCCAAACGTTAATAGCACAAAGAAGATGGGTGTTCCCCTCTCCAAACATCCTCCCAAGAAGATCGTGAAATAAAAAATAAAAATTAAAAACAAAAAGGGAGATAATAATAAGATCTTATTCACAAGTGTGGACAGGAGATACAGTTAGACAACAAAGACAATGTCAGGAGAATTTACAGTCAACAGAGAAAATCATTCATTAACAGAAAATATGATCAATTACACCAACTACAATTCATCCTTTCTGTAGAATACCAGACAGAAACCTGAATCTGCCATGGAGATGGACTAATAGAAAATATTGAAAAAGGTATACCCATGGGTCTATCCCCACCTCCCCTTATGTTTGGCTAAACAAGGGTATATAGTATCTTGGGTGCTAAAAATTTCTAAGTATGAGAGAGGGCCAAGGCACAATGCCTAAATGTGGCCGTGTGGGATGCTGATGCGGCTGCCGCTGCCAATGAGCATGCCCAGGCCCTTGCGGTGCTGATGATGATGCTGATGCTGCTGCCTAGCCAAGGCATAGGACTGCTGTGCTGCCCAAGCCGAGGTACGCTAAGGCATGAGGGCTGGGCGCTGCTGCCCAAGTGATTGCACGCCCATGTCCTAGGCATGGGGCATGGGGCATGGGGATGAGGCATAATAAACTCATCCCTAAGAAACACCTATTTTGGCAATTGGCCAAAGCAAGGCAATGCAAGGCTTAGTTAAGGCAAGGCAACGCAAGACCAAGCCAATGTAAGTAGGTAACAAAGCCAAGACAAGCCATCTTAAGACATGACAACGAAGGATAGGCCAAGGCATGAATAAGATGGTTCCCCAAGAAGCACCTGGTGGCATATTCTTGTTGGATCCAAAAATGTTCTCCAAAGGCCAAATATGAAGGCTATAATACATGAAATCGGACCATTTTTTGAGATTTCGGGACTTAGTATCAAAAACTCAAGGGATGGTAGGGGATGTATCCAAAGGTCATATAAAGTTGTTTGGACCCTTATTCGGTCATTGGTAGATCACGTAAAGGCCCATGGTAGCCTTGAGTTAATAAAGGGAGGCATATAGATAAATAGCTAAATTGATAGTTTAAAGGCAAAGCAGACATTTTCAACAGCCCAAATTGCCGCCGCGGGGGGGGGGGTTCCACTGGAAGCACCCTGGCCTCTTTCCTGTCTGAGTCCGAAAAAGTCGAAAATTTCCTAAAACTGTAGACTAATCCATGCTTTTGAACCAAATTTGAAAATAAATAAATTGAAGTAAACATGTAGGAGTCCCCTGTGGTCATTTTAATATTTGCCAAATGGCATTAATGTGAAAGATATGTCAACATAAAGCTCCAACTATAAAAAACATTTGCAGGAAAATCCATTGGATCTCAACAAAACAGAGACAAAGTATGCAGATATCAATTTATATGAAAATTTCACTAAATATAGAGTGGAATTATTGCTTGTGGAGAGCAACTTCCAAGTGAAATCAACCAATTTTCTCAAGATGTAAACCATACAATTAAAACATGTTTGACAGAGAGAAGGAATATTGACATTTGAGTCAAAGAAATCCCTTACACATTATATCTGAACTTCAACGGAATGGCCATTAGCCCTGCTACACTGATGATTCTAAATGTCCAGTAAAATATAGGGCCAATATAGTTAGTTAGGATGCTACAACAAGAAACTGTATGATAGGAAATAAGGGCAAAAGACTCCCCTCTAATGGTTGGGCCACATGAAGCAAAGTACGGCCAATGCTCTAATCAAGAAGTAAATGATAAGAGGCTACCACTTCTGATAAACAACAGTCTTATAAGGATTATAATCCAGATGCCAGCGCACTGAAGAACCAATCGGGTCAATACGGAAGGCCTTTTTAGATCATGCCCCCAAGTTAGAAATATTTTGCTATGTATTAATATTATCGATATTCATATTTCATTTTTAAAGTAAGAAATCAGTCAGTGCTACCAAGTCAAAATATGTTGATACGCTTTTAAGTTTTACCCCATATCTAAATCACCAATCTTTATAACAAAAAAAACCTTTTGTCCTATTTCTTTCAACTTCTTTTCTTCAGACGTTCGTTTAAAAAAAAAATAAAAAATAAAAACCACCCACTCACACACACACACACACACTGACCCACCCACCCACACACACACACACATAATAACAGAAAATGTCACAAAAGCTGAGGATGCAACAGTTCAATGTAAAAATAGAAAATTCACTAAATCTCTGAAGAACATAGAATTTCTAGCCACCCATACCACATAATTATCAGAAAACCATAGCTCCAAAGAAACTCCCCATGCTCCTCTAAATCAAACATACCTTGTCTTAAAGGTCCTAAACAGCAATTATCTAAGTCCATATTTCTCCACTAATCTTGAAATGTCATGCCTCAAAAACCATAACAACATAATAAAAACAATCCCTGCACGCCACCACATGTTTGTTTTACCTCAAGTCCTCAAGTGATATATCTAGTCTTGAGGTGAGCAACAATTCTTTATGTGGGATTTACCCAAGACTGCTGGTCAAGCAGAAGTAATTAACTTCCTAGATGTCAGACTTCCGGATTAAAAAAAAAGACTGGAGGAGGTTTTAATGTGGGCCATCATGATTAACTTTTGGCAAGAGTTGCATGTACGGATTCGATTAAAAAAAAAAAACTTAATCTGAAAAATATCTCATAATAACAATCCATAAAGCCACAACTATAACATACTCAACAAAATAAATTAGTTCCCCAACCTCCCCTACAATTTTTATTTATTTTTATTTTTATTTACTTCAATATTCTTTTAGTTTGTATGAGCTTCAAAAACCTTTTGAGTTTCAGAATGGACTCCAAGACCCAAACATTGTATACAATGCCATTAAAAATTATATCCTTCGAGTCTTTTTGACACTAGGATCATACCACACACACATCAATTAGGTTAGCTAAAGTATCCCCCTAACTCTGTCACCTTCAAGTCTTCAAGACTTCAACACTCCTTTTTCCCCTGAAGCATTTCCTCTACATTCATACATATGTTCTTTCTGTTCTCACACTCTCTTACCTTGTCCCATTAAATTCTTCTTTCTCAATCCCCACTCCACTTTGCGTTCAATAAGAAGAGTTTGTCAATCGCTTCCAAATTTGCATACCAATCTGAACGTAAATCCTTTATTCCTATTAAACACAAAATTGCCAATAGCAACTCAAATTGACAAAAAGTCTCTGGCAACTAAATCATATCATAATTTTCTCCTAAAGCATCACGACTGCTAAAACAAATACGAGTACAAAGTACTACTCCGTATGTAAAAGAAATCAAAACCCAAAAGGAATCAAACAGTGTTGCACACAATTACTAACAGTGCATTGCTCATACTTATAGCGTACATACCTATAGAATTATAGAATAATCATACTCATACTATGTAGCGTCTACTTAAGGTCTTGAGCACTGCATACTAAAAAAGTTATTATTTTGTAATTTTTATCCCTATTGCTCATCTTACTCTAGACAATAATAAAGCAATGATGTCAACAACATAATAAAGAACGCCCCTCACATTCTATTTAGCAAAATAAAACTTATGTAACCATATTGCCATCCCTATTCAAGGGCAATTCTAACTTCTGATAAATTTCACAAGGTAGTAACATACAAGAAGTCTTCAGTAATCAAACTAGTAAGGAACAGATGTCAAATCAAACACTAAGATAAAATCATTTATAGCTTAGCAAGATGTATTTATATCAATCAATAGCCGTGAATCAAACACCCTAATGGCTGTTCAATCAAAAGGCATGATAATACAGCATGGTAAAACAGTGAGCTAAATAAAGGAACCCATTTTCTCTTCCATGGTCACATACGGTAGTAGACCTACAGAACAACTGGCTGATACAGCATAAGTTGTCTTCAGAAAAATTAAAAACTGTCATACTCGGCTTCTGGCAAATTTAAAACAAAAACCATTTGAAGCACACATACCTTCAGCGTTTCGACAGGTAACAAAGATACAATACATAACACACCTCAAGGTGATGCCTCATAGGATTCTCTTAACGCACCTAGGGACAAAAGGGGATTGCAAAGCTGCATCTGCATCCTTAGGTACTTCAAGCCAGACAAGAGATTTACAAATCTTTAACAGAATGAAACACCATCCTGCACCACATTGTCTAGCCTAGTGATTGAAAAATTACAATCAGCCTTTGATATAGCAACATTTGGGAGACAAGGAGCTGGAAGGTAACATAAAAAATTTTCTAAACACCAGTTATACAAAACAAGTTATACTATGGACTTATGGAGACTAGTACTTTCTCTCAAGCATACTTATTGCATCAATTTATTGCCAAGTTCACTGTACAAATCCTTAACTTTCATAAGAATTACACACGGGAAAGTACAAATGTCTGTATAATCCTATATTCCCTCCTGTTTTCTCTTTCATTTATACATCTAATGACCACTTCAGCTTTACAAGCTTACATTTAAGCTTTCCTTGTGATTATCAAAATAAGAAGTTGGCAACTAAACCCTAAATTGGCCTAAACTCCATTTAAAGGATAAACTAATATCTAAAACTTCCAGTACCAGCTAGGAGCTGAGTTCATAAATTAACCCAAAAGTCCATTCCAAAGGGTCAGACATTAAATTTGGAGATCATAACCAATTAACTACAAAGTAACAAATTTCATTAATTCATTCTGACAACATTGAATGTGTATAAAGCCTCGCGTATTTGGTCTATGGTCAGTATCACCTCCAGTACTTTTTTTACTAGAGATACACAAGGGGACTTAAGGGACTCTTCTCTCAACAATGAGTTTGATCTTTGCATTTACACGAACAAATCAACTACTAAAAACTCTCTCCATTCCTATACAGATATATTCACATTTTTGCTTGTAGTACAAAATAAAATTCACAATTCTAAGAGAACTCTATAATTAAAATATTTACTTCCTTTCCTCTTCCATCCCATCAATACTTTCTCGATACCCATACTCTATTTCACTCACTATACAGTAAACAGCATACACTGTTCTTAGCCTTTGTTATTTCATCTTAAAATACAAGTTTCAGGAAAATGATTCGAAAAAAAAAAAAAAAAAAAAAACCAAAAAAACCAACGTATTTAGCTACACTTAAACAAGGGAAGTCTCATCAATTCACAACAAAAAATAACTGCAGATAATTCCTTACAAAATTTTAAAAAAAGATCTTACAAATAAAATTTCTACTTTCTATCAAAAGAACAAAGTCTAATGTGTTGATTGAGGAGCAGGGAGAAGATTAAACAAGACCACAAAGGTCAAGGGAGCTCTCATCCATTTGTTATCCATAATCCATATATATATATATGCACGGGCTAACCTCTGAAGACCTGAGTTTTCTAGATATTGGTAACATTCAATGCCGGAACATTTCTAGGAATAAAGATAACTACACAAACAGAATTGATACAAGCTTTCCAAGGGATTTCCAAACAAATGTAAATGGTCCAGTCAATAAATATTATAGAAAATTTATAGAGTTTAAAAGAAAAGAAATATCCAATATAAATCCACTTTGGGAGGACAGACATATAAAGAGCATTTGACATATTGTTCAATTATATGTACTCCATATCTCACCACCCACCATAAAAATTGCAAAACTAACAGATATAATAATCCTCGGTAGTATTTTGCAGAAATGAAAAGCTATGAACTCCTTTACACAAAATGCATCCTAGCTTCTAGAAATTGGAGCACCTCAAGCACTTTACAAATAGAGCATCAGCACAGCAACAGGAATAACAAAAGCTAACACAATCATAACCATTTGAAGGCCAGCAGAAACAGTCTCTATTGTGAACTACTTGCAGCTTTAGCAGTCAAATTGTAGGTTCAATAATTATAAAAATAAATAAATAAATAAATAAATAAATAAGCCAAGATAACAATTATTTCAGGACATATAACCGATGAACCTTGATGCTGTTGACCAAGACAATATCCCTTACGACTATCCTTTACTCCAAAAATTGCAGATAAAAAACAAAAAATAGACACAACCAACTCAATTATGCCAAAACATTCATTGTGCAGTTTCTGTGCAAGTTCAACAACCTATTCTATTCAGGCTATAATCTCAAAGCAGCTTTTGACACGTCCATAAGTAACTTTCATACATATGTAGAATTTCCAGATGTCTCTATTGTTCTCCATCAATTCCATAACTGGCATGAACCCAAATTACAGCCCACTATAGTTGGCAGATCATCAATTGATTTTACTAGTCATTAACTCTCTTTACTTCTTTTCCCAAGTCCTTCAGAAACAAATATCCTGATCTCACAACATGCTATGTCAGGATATCTTCGCGTGTTTTTGCTGTCGAACACAACTTGTTATTTTTAGCTTTCCCTAAACTAAAAAATCACAGAATGCGTACACTACAACTCAAACTACCTAAAAACACCAGAAATATCAAAATATGTATCTATCAGGGGCCTCAAGCATCTATAGAGCCTACTTTAGCGGGGTACATTACAAGTGCAAAACTTTGAAAATAAAAATGATATATCTACAGTGAGAATATTTAATGGACCAAAAAGGGCACATGCTCTTTCAAAAGAAAGACAGACCTTAACTGAGATTGAAGTTACATAACACAAAAGAACAACTCAAATCTCCACCAATCAAGAAAAGGATGAGCCAGCCATATCACCTACACTAAATCTTCATTAAATTATTGTTCATTTGTTAAGTTCAGTACAAGAGAAAACACATAACTTCTATACAGCTACCAACACTCCCACTCGAGTACCCATGTCCGACACAGGTATGTGTCCAAACGTCCGACTTGGCTATTTTGTGAAAAAAATCCTTGATTTTGAACTAAAAGTGAAGCATCTAAGTGGCATACCCATGTCCGAGTGTCGAGGTTCCGACATGGGTACTAGAGGTAAAATGAAGAGTCCATGTAACATAGGATACAACCATTGCAATGCGTTTAATATCTTAAATGACAATTGGCATGAAATCCATTGTAGGAAGACTTCAGCTAATACCAATTGGCATATAATTACCTCGAGTTTCTCGAGCAGATGATGTATGGTGGAATCCGCTAGCCGATGAAACTCGTCTTCCTGAAGCACAGAACTGTTTTCACATCAATTATTATCACGATCGCATTGATATACACTAGTATCACAAACAGCATCAGTGACTAGAAATAAGGAATTTGCAGTGTTCTTAAGCTGCTTATTCATCTAATTAAACAAAAATTCTTCAACAATAAAAAGAAAGCAAATCATCTCTAAAAAAAAACCCTCAAACAGCAGCACAGCAATTATATAAACAAAAAAATTATACTTTCAATTCCAACAATGAAAAGGGTTTCAAATTCAAACTAACCCAAATCAAAATTCTAAACCAGCAACTTCCTAATTCATTTAAAATTCAAAAACAATACCCAATTCAATTCTCCCCAGTTCCAGACTAATTTACTAGTTTTGGCCCCAAAAAACCCTAAATTCTAAAAATTACAACATACTTAGAGAAAATTGAGAGTGAGTACCTATAATCAATGGGAGCGGGAACTTGAGATTCATCGACAACATTGGTAGAGAAAGTTCTAGAATTGCAAAGAAAAGCAGCATAGAAAGAACGCAGTGAAGAAGAAGATGATGGAAGTGGTGATTCCAGAAGATTGCATAGGGTTCTAGAAGGAAGGAATTTGGTGGGTGTGAAAGACGCCATTTTTGGATGGCATTGCAGAGAAGAAAGAGAAAAACGAGTTAGGGAGACAGCTTGCCGGAGTTTTCGCATGTTTTCCGGTGACGGCGTTATGAATGTGGTGAAGAAAGAGCATGCGAAGAATACAGGGCAAAAACAAGATTATATGCCAATTTCTTTTTGTTTTTTTAAATGAATGAAAAATTTAAGGTATTTTTTAGTGAAAATACTAAGCTTTTTTTTATATTTTATTATTATTATTTTTATTTATTTTCAACAAAAGAAAATACGTCAAGAGTAACAATTTATGGTATTGTAGGATTGAATATATTCTTTATAGTGGCTTTGGTACATCAATACATCGATTATTCGATTATAATTAATACTCCATAATCATGCTTAATAGGTGCTAATCCTTTTCTTTTTAATCTTCTTATATATGGAGTGAATATATTAATATTGTCCTATATCCTTAATTTGATAAGTATAATATTACGGAGTATTAAAATATACCATATCGATGATTAAAAATTTATAATTATCCCTAAGGTTTCATATTTCATAAAAAAAAAAAAAAAAAAAAAAAAAGAGAGAGAGAGAGAATTAAACCAACTATACTTACCAGTTAGGCAGTTACTACCCCTGACATGTAATCTGGTTGATCTTTGTAGCTTAGATTCAATAGAAGTGAAAGCTCCCAGTAGAGTCATTACTCATAACCTTAAAGTTAGGATACTTAAAATTAAAAATAATAATAAAATTAACAAAAAGGTAAAAGTATTACATCGATGTGGTATATTAGAAATAATACGGAATAGGTGGAGAAGTTTTTTTTTATACTAAGTACTCCGTATTTCATTATGCTTAAAATTAAACTTTTAAGTTTTGAGGTATACGTAGAATATTGCACCAATATCTATAATTTTTTTTCCCGTCAAAAAAATTATAGATATCAATTGGTGCAATATTCTAAGTTGAAATTATCTACATACTAATGCATGCACAAAACGGATAGTTTAGTAGTTGTTTATACTATTCTTCTAAGTATGTAAGATTAAACTGCCATTTTTTGCAGCAACTAAGAAATTTCTCCTTGTTGAGAAACATGATTGAATTGAACTTCACATGTGGTAATTAAAGTCAATGAAGACTTTACTAAGTACAATAATTTGTATAAAGTACAATAATGTATATTATTGTATTCAATTATTTTGGCTATATAAATGAAAGTTCACGGATTGTGAACTTAAGTTGAAAAACAAAAAAAGAGTTTTCCTACCATTCTACTACTTACTTCCTATCTTCATCCCTTCACTGATAAATATCTTACCATCAGTAAAATATTTTTAACACGTTATCAGCACCAGTTTTCAGTCAGGTATATTTATACCTACTTCTAAAAAATTTATAACAAATAATACTATCTACTTCTAAATATTTCGAGGAGTATGCTCTATAGTTGCCCATATTTGGGATCCTCTATACCAGAAACTCAAACATTTACTGTATTATATATACCTCAAAAACAACGGTGAAAGTTCTCTTTTGTTTATTCATGTTGATATTTCTTTGTTTGATCCATGTTGATATTACATACTCATTTTACGTAAATTTTTATCTTAGTTATTATAATTGCTAAGTAGTAGCTTTGCATGCATATTATTATTAACTAGATTAACAAGATATTAGGGCTCTTGGACCACTATGGCTTGCATTCCCAGTGTGATAACCTTTTACAATTATAAATATATATATTTAGACCATAATTTTTGTCAGTATATTAGATTGTTATATGATATTTTTATAGTTGTACAGAACAGTAACGGATAAACCCACCTCTATAAAAGACGGATTTTTCCCCCAATTTCACCACAAATCCTTTATCTCTTCCCACTTTTTATCCAAAAATCACCTAAAAAAATTTTTTTCACCCCCTTCTTCTCCGATATGTTCCCCGACGACGGCAACCAAAACACCCACAACTTCACTTTTGAGGAAGATTTAATGAAGATAAAACAATATTTCCTTTTAATTACGGCGCTTGTAGTTTTATTAGTAGCAATATTAATTTTTGTCATTATGTATAAGTAAAACTCACTTATTTTGTCGTTTTAGTATATTAAAAGCTTGTTTTTGTTTTATTATGTATGTTTGTTGTTATTAATCATCATTGTATAATATTACCGTTATCATTATAATTATTGTTACTACTGTCATTGTTGTCGTTTTGCTGTTTTTTTGCAACTAACATGATTAATTTTTGTCTAATCATATAATTACTCACAATAATAAACCAAGGGGGAGAAAATACTATATTACTTATGGTTTATTATTATTAAATTTAATTATCACGTGTCTTATTAACTTAAATATAAATATGGAAGAACTAAACATGTGAGTTGTACATATAATTTGTTATTATAATCTAATTATCACGAAATTTGTTGTAGCTAAAATGGGAGACCTTATGAAAAGACAGTTCAGCATCTTAGATTTATCTGGAAAAAAATTTCTGGAATGGAAAGTGGACGCAATGATGAATTTGAAAGCTCAAGGCTTGGAGCACACTGTTAAAGAAAATAAAAGTCCCCCTGGTCAAACAACTGATACTACCACTTCTGCAATGACGGTTGAAAAACCCATTACCGAACAAGAAAAGGCAAAAGCCTTAGTGTTACTAAGGCATCATTTACATGAAGGCCTTAAAACTGAGTACATGATGGTTGAAGATCCCAAAGAATTATGGGACTGCCTTAATGAAAGATTTGGACACCACAAAAGGGTGCTCCTTCCTAAGGCATTATTTGACTGGACAAATTTACGGTTCCAGGATTTCAAATTTGTAATAGATTACAATTCAACCATACATGAGATAGTATCTATATTGAGATACTGTGATCATTCAGTCACCGATGAACAAATGATTGAAAAAACACTCACTACCTTTCATGCAAGCAACATACTGTAGCAAGAACAATATCGTGAAAGAGGTTTTAAGAAGTTTAATGAATTAATGAGTGTATTGCTTGTTGCGGAACAAAATAGCGATCTTTTGTTGAAAAATCATAATCTCAGACCAACTGGGTCTTTGGCCACTCATCATGAGGCAAATGCAACAAATTCCTATCAACCCGAGTCAAATGCTACAAGAAGAGGTGGACATGGAAATTACAATGGTCGTGGAAGAGGCCGTGGAAATTATCGCGGACGCGGCCGTGGTCGTGGTAGAAATAATTTTCAAAGAAACAGTAATTTCAAAAATTTTGAAAAACAGAAGGGACAGTTATCTGGAAGCCACAAACAAACTCCTTCGAAAGGAAAAGACACATGTTACAGATGTGGCATGACAGGACATTGGGGACGTACTTGTCGAACGGCCAAACATTTGGTAGACCTTTACCAGGCTTCTGTAAAAGGCAAAGAGAAAAATGCAGAAGCAAATTATGTTAATGAGGAAAATGCTCCTTGTCCCAGCCTTGATGTGTCTGATTATTTCATGGATAATGCTGAAATTGGAAATGATTTCATTCTTGGAGAAAACAACAATACTTAGGTTTCTCATCTACTAATGTAACATATGCTATGTTTTAATGTATTTTCTTAGTTCCCTGTATTTTAATGTACTTTTAATCTCTATCATCAATAAAAGTTTGTATGATATTATTCTAAACTAATCTCAAATTTATTTTATGAAGATATGGATCTACCTGAAGTTAGTTCCGAATATCAATGCCTTTTGGACAGTGGAACAACGCACACTATCTTAAAAGATAGAAATTATTTTTCACAACTAAAGTTGTTTCAAGCAAATGTAAACACCATTTCCGGGTCAGCTAAATTAATTGAAGGATCTGGAAAGGCTTGTATAATGCTTCCAAATGGAACAAAATTAATAATCAATAATGCTTTATATTCGAGTAAATCTCGAAAAAATCTCATAAGCTTTAAAGATGTACGCCAAAATGGCTATCATCTAGAAACAATGACAACAGATCAAAAAGAGTATATATGCCTCACGGCAGAAAAATATGGCAAGAAACATATATATGAGAAATTGCCAGCATACTCTTTGGGGTTATATCGTATAAACATACGACCCGTGGAAATCAATATGGTATCTAACCAGAAGTTAGATGACAAACATTTGACTATTTTATGGCATGATCGTTTGGGACATCCAGCAACTGGGATGATGCAAAGAATAATAGCACATTCAGTTGGACATTCAATAAGAAATTTCAAAATTCCCCGATCAGATGAATTAACATGTTGTGCATGCTCACTTGACAAATTAATGATAAGGCCATCTATGAACAAAATTGCTACTGAATCTCCAAAATTCTTGGAAAGAATTCAGGGAGACATATGTGGGCCAATTAATCCAACATGTGGACCATTTCGATATTTCATGGTTTTAATTGATGCCTCTACACGATGGTCACATGTTAATCTACTTTCAAGTAGAAATGTTGCCTTTGCAAAATTACTTGCCCAAATCATCAAATTAAGAGCACAATTCCCAGATCATACAATAAAGAAAATAAGACTTGACAATGCTGGGGAATTTACATCCCAAACATTTAATGATTATTGTATGTCAATTGGAATTGATGTTGAACATCCAGTAGCTCATGTCCATACACAAAATGGTCTAGCTGAATCACTAATTAAGAGATTACAATTGATTGCAAGACCATTATTAATGAGGTCAAGATTTCCATCATCTGCTTGGGGACATGCTATAATACATGCAGCAGCGCTAATTAGATTGAGACCTACAGCTTATCATAAATTCTCACCACTACAACTTGTTTGTGGTCGAGAACCAAGTATCTCACATCTAAAAATCTTTGGTTGTGCTGTATATGTTCCCATTGCTCCACCCCAACGAACAAAAATGGGTCCACAAAGAAGGCTGGGAATTTATGTCGGGTTTGAATCCCCCTCTATAATTAAATATCTTGAACCATTGACTGGTGACTTATTTACGGCTAGATTTGCGGACTGTCACTTTAATGAAACAGTATTCCCAGCCTTAGGGGGAGAGAAAGTGGACCCACGTAAGAAAGAAATTGAACTCATTTGGAATTCAACACAACTGTTGATGTTAGACCCACGAACAAATATGTGTGAACAAGAAGTTAAGAAAATTGTTCATTTACAAAGTGTTGCAAATCAATTGCCTGATGCATTTGTAGACACAAAGAAGGTGACAAAATCACATATACCAGCAGAAAATGCCCCTGCACGTATTGAAATCCCAACTGGTAATAAGGCCATAGAAAATGAATCTCAGGCACGCAGAAAGCGTGGAAGACCACTTGGTTCAAAAGATTCTAAGCCAAGAAAATTGAAAAGATTGGATGGAATAGAAAATGAGACTAATG